ATACAACAATTTATATTAATGATTTTTGTCGAGATAAACTTGAGTAAAAAAACAATTTTTGGGTTTATTAATAGGAAAGAGCCATATCATTGGCATGAGAAGGGAATATAAGAAATGTTTCATTTATATTATGAATGTTTATATTCGTGTTATACATGTGTTTCATAGTTTTTTCATGCATTCCAATATAATTCGTACCTTTTTCAATATATATACAATCAAATATAAAAAAATATTTCTTCTTTGAAAATACATTTTGACAAATATATTTTGCTATGCATTTCAATTGGGTTTTTCTATCAATTTGAAGTGTTTATTGTTGATTGGGTATATGTAGTTATTTGAATTTTTTATAATTTTCGCTTTTTAGTTTTATATGAAATATTGTCTAATGATAAAATACATTGTTTCAATTGAAAATATTTAGAGAAAAATGACTTTATTGATATTTATTTTTTGATTCAAAACCATATTGAAGTTCTCAGCTCATAATTCTATTTAAATTTAATTATCACTGAACTTTCTTTTATAAAATTATATTGCATAACTATTGAACGCAAAAAAATTTTTTAACAAAACAAATCATTCAAATATCTGATTGATGTTCGAAAATAAACGTAGGCAAGTATCAGCGTCAAACTTTTTCAATTTTTGACTATAATCGTTCCTCTTGAGTGTATGCACTGATTATTGTACTAAAGTAGTCTAATTTGATTATCAAATGTCGCATAATAGTTTCAGGAAAGAGAAGTTACTATTGCATTGTCGTAAATAACGTTAAAATCAGATTCAGCAAGTTTTGGTTTCAATTGAACTCACAAATTGTGTTAGTTTTCTAAGTGATTGATTTAAATGTAGAATTTCATTCTCTATCAAACGGTACCACTTGCAATAGAGATCATCGGACAAAAAAGAGAAGTTAAGTATCACATTTTGGATGTTTGATGGTGTAGATAGTTGTTGATATTCTATCTTTTCAGATCGACATTGCCACATCACCAACCACATCCCGTGCACAACATTTCGAAGGAATGATAAGAATACATATGAATGCTGCTAGAACATAGGACTCTTGCAAGAACATTAAATAATATTAATGCGCAAATTCTATAAAAGATAAGCTGACATATATTTGGAATGTAAAAGGCGACGAACTCACAATAATAATAATCGACTTCAATCATCAAAAATCTCAAGAAAAAATAAACAATCGATCGTTCTGTAATCGATTTGTTTTCATCTAGTCAACAAGATAAAACTCTTAGGAAAAGAACTTCAAAGAAAAAATGAATTAATACGATTTCAAAAAAAATTCATCGATTATGATCAAAGACAAATATTATTTTGTAAACATTTTTTGCCTTTTGATTTGGACAAAAATCCAATGAGAAACGATCGCCATCTGTTTGAATATAAAATGATCAATAAAATTTCGATTTCTCTAATAACAAGTATGATTACTACGATATTTAGAAAGAAAAAGGAAAGAAAATAGATAAATTACACGTTTTTACAGTGGCCTTCGATACATCATAAGAACGCTGTGATAATTTTTTTTTTCTAAACATAGTTAATGTCATGCATGAAAAATCAAGCGTATCAAATGTAAAATGATAAATTAATGAAACAAACAGAACGTCGTAGCTATACGAAGAAGAGAAACAACGAAATCATTCTACTACTATTGCATTCAATTTAAGTGAGTAAGTATCAAATGATTAATTATGATGGTGAACACTTTTTTTTTCAAATTAGATATATTACAATGAGTGCCAATAAAGAACTTACTCAAGAACAAATCGATGAAATCAATCATTCTTTTCATGAACTTGATAAAAACCAAAATGGATATGTAAACAAATCTGAAATTAAAGAACGTATGAAAAAAACACATCTAGAGGATCTGGATGTAATAGTTGATCATTATCTACGAAAAATGGATCAAAATGCAGATGAACAAGTTAGTTATGATGAATATCTCAAATTTATGACGGCTATCTATCTTGGTGAACACAAAAACTTAAGAAAAAAATGAATGGTTGAATGTAGTTATAGTCGATGAACAATTCTAAACATTTAACTTTGAGGCAGTTAACTAGTAGTTTTCACACGAGATATTTAACAATATTGTAATCCTCTTCTTTTCTCTTAGTTGCTCCATGATATTTTAAAATAAACAAAGTTGTTTGATGATGTCTCTCCTAAACAAAAATCTAATCGAAATCGATCTCGATAGGCCTATACACTGCATTATTTAACAATCACTATATCAAACTCTGGCACAAGGAAATAAAAGGATGTTGGTGTTAGTGGCGGCGCCAAGGGTGGGCTGGGGTGGGCTGAGCCCACCCTGGAATTGTTTGAGCCCACCCTGAAATTTTTTTCAGATCTTAGAAAAAACAATATTTTATCTGAGCGATGTCGCAACATACTACGGCTAGTTCACCATTAAGATCTTTTCTTATTTTCTATTAGTTATGTTTTGTAATGGGCAACATCAATTCTTAAAAGAATTAATTCCATATTCTACTGCATTTCCACAAACAATACTAATGGTCAAAAATGCTATGACAATGCCGGTTTCACAAGTGATATGCGAACGCTCATTCTCAAAGATGAAAATAATAAAGAACTATCTTCGTAATTCTATGTCTGATGCTCGCTTAAGTGACTTAACAGTCTTGGCTATTGAGCGTGACATTTTTATAGATTATGAACAAATAGTAGATAAATTCGCACGAAATCATAAGAACAGCAGAATTTTATTATGTTAGGATTATCTAAAACTTTTGAAAATAAATAATCAAGCTCTCTCTCTATATATATATACATGTATATTGTTTATTTAACATAGAAAAGAAAATTCTTTGATGAACTTAAGAGTTGAAAACAGCTTAGACTACCATTTTTAGTGTGTAAAGATTCAATAATGCTGAGCCCATCCTGTTTAAAATTTAGTGGCCTGAGCCCACCCTAGTCTAAATTCCTGGCGCCGCCGCTAGTTGGTGTAGATGTATATTTTTGTGAAAGAATGATCAACATCATAAAGATATTTTTTGCTCTAGCTAGGTTTAGAGTTAGATATGCCTCTCACCTACTCAAATGGAAAGTTGATATGTGCCGGTTTTTAATTTCATTTAATTTGTTCTTTTCTTTAATAATATGAGAAAAAATGAAGTATTTTGGAAAAAAAACTTTTTTTGTCTTTAAGATTGATGTAAAAAATTTTAAAAAAACTTCATTAGTCGGAAGAAATGAGAGAGGGTGTGGGTATGTTTACAGAAATGCAGGGAATAATTCATGGAAATCATACGATATGTTTCGTCGGTACTTTTTGTCCGTAAATGAAGAGTGTGGGTGTGAGTGTTAGTGCCATGAATGGTAGGCATTATTCAAAAAAAAAGCTTCGATAATTGCTGTTCTTTGTGAAATAGAGAAAAGAAAAACATTGATTATTTTGCTCTCGTTCTTCCTCTTCTTCGTCTAGAGTACAACAGATTTAAGGATGTACTAGACTTTGAATATAATTATCACATATTGATGTCTAATTAATCAATACACAGATCGCATTCTTCTTCTCTTTTTTTTTTTTGAATATGCAATATTCGAAAAGGGATTATGAATCGAATTGTTGCATTAATAGATAAAGAGATCGAAAGAAATGCTTGAAGGATACCAAATATAAAGTTTTCGTTCTTCTTCCTTTAATACTTGACATTGAAAAATAGTTAGAACTCATTTGATATTCCATTTTTCAATGATAACATGCTTTTACTCTTTTATTGGAATATTGCTTAAAAATTTGTTTTTCACATAAATGAAATTTATACATCAATAAATCCTTGGTTTCCAAAGAAAAGGCTGGTAACGGTGATAAATATGATCGAGATACGCAAATAAGGGTGTGGGTATGGGTGTAAGAAGAAAAAGAATCCAACACTCCACACCCACCTCATCAAGAAGGTCAATTTTCTCACAAGTTGAGTAGAAAAACAAACATTTATGACAATTAGCATTTCTTTTTGTAGACTTTTTTCCAACCTCGAGGTACATCATCATCACCAAGACTCTCTTCATCTGAACTATTGTCATCTCTCTTGCCGGAAATTAAATCGTACAATTTCTGCATACTCGTTGAGTCCGATTCGAAACCATCATCATTATCGTCGATATTTGTGTCGAGAGTCTTTGCAGGTGTTGCTGTGCGTTGCCGTTTCAATGGTTGTGGATGTGTGTCATCAGAATCGTCATCATCTCCAATGTATAATTCATTCACTTCTTTTTCCACATCAAAACATTCGTCAGCACTCATATTGAAGGTATACTGGTCGAATGAATGATCCATTGGAATCTTATTTGAAAGTTTACTATTGTTTGTTTGAGATTGTTTTCGATTAGTGGTTATTTGTTCACACCAAGATGATGGTTGAGTGACAACAGATACTTCATGTTGCATATCACAATAACGTCGTTTAGATACTCGAGGAGTTTCTTCTGTGAACAATCTTGATTTACGAACATCATAATCTGACATGAGAATATAGTTTTCTTCTGGTGTCTTTTCCCATCGTTCATAACAATCAATTAGCCATTCTGGTGTGACAACTTTTATATTATGTTGTAGAGCTTGATAGACTTTCATCGTTTGTTTTCCAGCAATGACATGCGTTGTTTGAATGTTGCCATTCCGATCATATTGCAGATCATGAGTAACTGTTGCTCCCATCGTTTTAGCCATAATTGTTGCACGATGTTTTTCTATGGGATAATTTTTTGGCATTAAATGAGAGAAGCACAGAGATACGGAACTGAGTACTTGTCGACGAACATTAGGCATAATTTGCTTCAAATTTGGCATGATCCCATGTTTGTCTTGAATCCATTGATCATAAGCTGTATAGAATATCGTATGGATATGTTTTAAAATAATTTCTAGTTGGTATAAATAGAGATCAGTATCCACAACTTCATGGGAATTGTTTTCTTTGAATCTTTTACTTAATTTATCGCTCTGCTTATTGAATTTACGTTTTTCACTTGATTGCTGTCGGTCTTCGCTATTCTCGATCTGTTCACTAATTGATGAAACCATTTGGGAATGAGAGATTGATAATGATGGAAGATGGATAGCATTTATATCACCAACATCTTTGAACCATATATACGGTTTGATATGAACTAGGTTTGGAGCGTAATTCCAAACATCGTCACGATCATCTATCATACAGACTAACGAATCACTACAAGGAAAGAGACTACTCAAATTGGCTGTTTTATCTGTCAAACTAAGACATTCATTGCGCGATAAGATTCGATGGGAAAAAAATGTTCCATTTGGATCGATTAGTTTAGCTATAGTATGTGCATACGGTCGATCACCAAAAGTAACTATATGAAATTGATAGAATGGTCGAAGATTTGTCAGAAATTCTTGGACACCTGGACGTAATTTCGTATAGAATGTTTGTGATGTTGGAGTGTTTAGTTGATAAGCAATCACATCTGATGAAGACGGATAGTGAATTCTAGAATTTGTCGTATGAACCAGAGTCTGATCGAGATCAACCAATAAATGCAATTTACGTTTACGAAGAAGATAATTACGCTCTTCATTATCGAATCTCAAAGCTTCTTCTGCAGTAATTTTTACTGTTGGAAATGAAGGTTCCATTGATATCACAGATTTTGTACATTTTAATGCTGACAAAGCATTTTTCAATTGATTTAAATCGATACCACAATCACTACACAGATTTTTAAAAGTGATCGTATGTCGACATTCTTCATATTCAAGAATGATTGAACCATACGAAAGAGTATCCAGTTCATGAATATACAATTTAGTAACTGTACCAGATACAGGTGATAAAAAAGATTGTCTTTGACCGTTCATATCAATCATAGTAAAAATTAAGTCATTTTTAATCAATCGCGTATCTGTTTGAATCATTATTTTATACACTTGTATGGATTTATTTAAATTAAATTTTAACTCTTTCACATTGCTATTAACGTAACTACCGTTAACATCGGTCTGACTCATAGTAAGAAAAATATTTCGTCACTCTCTTTGAAAGATACAAGATAAAAGAAACATGTTTAATGGTTGTGTAGTGCAGGTGATTATGTTCGTTCTTACACATACGTTTGTTCTTTTACTTTCCATTTCGTATAGAATGTGTCAGAACAAAACAAATATCATGTTCTATACTACCGCTGCTATAGTTTCTCATGACAAGCTTATCAAAAGGCAAGCAGTCAACACGGATGAAATGCATGTTGCGATGACGCAACAAAGTGGGTTAATGGCGACATCGATCTGCGCGAGCAGTATTTTTTTTATTTCATTTAATAATATTCTTGCATTTATATGAAGCAGTGCCTCATTTTCGATACAAACTAAAATAAAACATGTCGTAATCAGAATGCATCATGGACTGTCTACTAACTATCTATTCAGGGTGTGGGTAAAAGAAGACACTACCTCATCTACACTCACACTCTGTATGGTTAATTGTTTAGAGCATATTTGCTTAGTTTAAATTATCTCTTATATATCAAAGTTAAAGCAATTACATTGCTAACAATAAGAGTATCATGAAATAAATTGGGTGAAAATCGATTTGCTTTGTCTGGTTACTTGATCTCAAAAGCACTTTCTCGTTTAACAATCAAAAATAAATACTGATATAGTTTTGACGGCTTAAGATGTTGTTTCATTTTAACACAACTTGGTCACTGCCAGTTGTCAGTTTATAAAAATGAATACTTATCATGTGCTGATTCTCTGCTTCCTAGCTTGCTTTTTCCAAGACGAGCTGTCAAACAAAAGCTGTAAATTTCGTGTAAGAGTAAGAATGTGAGATTTTTATTATTTTCTTATTTGTAGGTCAAGGTGGGAGTGTCAATGTGGACTATTGTAACAAGGGAAATTTTCGAGATCTTGAATGAATGTGTTGTAGTAGCGATGTATGATGAAAACAGTTCGTTTTTTGCCACCTTTCAAAGTCACACCGAAGCTTGTGTAAGTGAACTTGAGTGGTTTGGGCGTGAGGTAAACATGATAATTATGCTTCATATATTTGGCATAATCATATTCGGTGATTGTAAATTCAGATGCAAATGTTTGGTTTCGTCTTCCTTAAACTTTTGAGTACCGGATTATTTTTACATAATAAAAATTTTTATAATTTCAAACTAACGTTTATTTCGCAAAAAATATCACAAAGTACATGAATTAAAATGCTTGTAGAGTGTAATAGTCTTTAAAACAATCCATAAGACACAATCCTACATCACATTCAATGGATTCATACGAAGTATCTCTTCTTGATCTGGCTCTTCTCACAGTATTGGCACAAACGTAACATTTTCTTCTTGAAATTAGTTGAGTCTCTGTTGATTCAATGCGCGAAGAAAAATGTTATCAAATGTGATCAATTGATCAGAACCTTTACTATAGATAACACACTTGAATGACTGTGTTAATATGAAAAATCTGTTGATAACGATTATTCTTTCTTGGAAAATGTTGTCCAATGACTTATGTTCTAATTCATTGAATCACATAGTGGTCGATAGAAATATTAGGGAACAACCAATATTCATCACTAGGTACAGATAGTCTTAACCGTACAAATATCCTAAACGCAAATATTCATGTAATTCATATCATAAAATAATCAAACGATCATGTTTTCTAAAGTTATTCAGACCCTAAACTATCAGGACGCGAATTCACGTCGCCGGTACTCAAAGGGTTAAAAGGTTCATAAAATGATATGAAATGAGCAGGTTCTGTGTGGTGCTTTTTTTTTCTTTGCAGAGTACTACATTTCTTCAATAAGCTGTATGTGAAACTAATTCACGCTTTTTTGACAGTTCTATGAGCCGACTTTTTTTTGAGAACTGTGCCCTTCTTAGATTTACGACAGTTAAAATTCATAAGTTCAAGTTAACTGCCAAAGCTGGGATCGATTCGATTCGGGCCGAAATTGAACTTGTCTGATCTCTGTGAGCTTTTCAAAAGACATATTGCAACAGATCAGTTTCTTTTGGAAAAAACACCTGTTGTTTAATGCTTATCTTTATGTTGCGTGATCAGGAAAATTCCACTAATAAAAAAATCTCTAAGAAGATACTATCAATATGAGATAAGTCAAATGATTTACTTTTATAGCTCATTTTGCAAATAGTCTGAGTACATTTTTATTTATCCAATATTTGACTAGAATGTACACTTTTTTGAAAATATTAGAAGCCCAGTTTGTCCTGATTAGGGAGAACATTGAATTCTTTTCATCGGACATGATTTTATTGCATACAATATGATGTCAATTTAACTCACTTGAATTTTTTTTTCATGCAAGCTACTTTCTGTTACATATTATTCCATAGAGAAAAAATATTAGCCGTGATTTCAAAGATAACATTTTTTTTAGTATTGAGAGTTCATGATTTTGTCAGTTTTTTTATGACGCCTTTGATCAATTTTGATTGCTCTATACGAACCTATTTTAAGATTTCATCGAATCTTAAAACAAGCATTAGTCGAAATTTACAACTGTTTGAGAGAAAATCCAACCAATATCCATAAATTCTGTAACCTATGTTAATTATTCAAAAACAAAAATCAAACTATTGCATCAGATAAAATATTCAAAGTTGATTAATGTTGGTAAGGATCACTGACGGAAATTTGTAGTTCTGAATATTGAACATATGATGTCTTCGGGTATGGATGTGCCAATTCCTGAAGCTTCGATTCAGAAATAATGTATCTATAGTATTGAGAGTCCATAGACTCATGTCAATTGTTCGTGTCAGCCGTCATTAATTTTGAGTTGTTTATCCAATGCTACAATTTGTTATGAAAATGAAACCAAACAGTTGATCAGAGTAGAGTTAATGAAGATGATCAATGCAATCTAACTTACCCATTAAAATTATATGGAAAGAACGACAATATTCATAGCAAACATCTAAGAGAGTTCGATCTCTTTCTTCATATGTTATTCGAACGTTCATTTTAATAACTTCATATCAATGTAAATTTAAAAAAGCTTTGAATGGAAGAATCATTACAATGCTCGAGTTTTCTATTATCAGTTGTTGTGTTCTATTCTTCCAATATCGACCATGAAAATTTCAACATACTCAGATAACAGAACAAAAAAAGAGTAATTGTGTAAGAGGAAAACAAAATAATGAGTAACTCGCATTGAGAAGATCGTAACTATGCAATTTTTGCTATTTGTAAAAGTATAAGAAGTTGAATGACATCACTGAAAGAGCATACTTACTTGCTACTGGAACTTTCTTGATCAAAAAGAAAGAAGTCCCTGGCCGAGGCTCTGCCATTGCACATAGACAGCGCTGACACCAGCGAGAATTTTCTCGAGTAGATTATTTTTTACAGTGAACTGAGCGTTCGCGCTTGATTCCTTTATCAAACAAAGAAAAATCTCATTGATTCAATTGGACTATGCTAAACCAAAATCACGACCAGATTAAATCGATTTCGTATCATAATTTTTTTTTCGGAGAAATCGTGCTCACGTAAAATTTGTTCTTATGTGTTCTTATATGTGCAAATAAATCCCATTGCTTGATCCGATTTGAATCCTTAAGATTATAAGCAACCCATATCAAATTGTAAAAGATCTTGTATAATTAAAGATCAATGTAAATGTGCATGTATGCGTTCCCACTAAAAAAAGTTATATTTAATTTGGAAACAAATAATGCAGTCGAACATGGGTGTTCGTTTAATATTTGCTTCGAACTCTATCTTTGGTAATGTTCGTGAGTGTGCGCAGCTTTTACAGACGCTTCTGGTATCTGAGATTGGATGTTTGGATAAACTGCCAATGATTTAATGCGAATTGCATCAATTTGGTTAGTGCATTCCTACTTGTATATTTTGAAAGTTGAATGATCTAGTATTTTCATCATATGACGCCTGATGAGTCAATGAATGATCGCTTTCTGACTCTATTCGTTCAAATTATTTTGTTACGAACATTATAAAAATTGAATTGTCCGGATCAAGCTCAAAACAGAGTTTGAGACTATACAACAATTTTATTTCATTGAAAAAAAAGGTGCCCGAAAGCAAAAGTATTCGAATAATTCAGTGCTCTTTTCAGAGTACAGCACGAAGTGAATATCAACCGACATCAATCGAAATCATTCCAATCTATTGTATAGGACAATTAATTTGTTGTTCATCATTGCCACCCTGTTTAACTCGCACACCAGCTATAGACTTTGGTCCTTCTAAAAATTCTGCTGGAAATTTCTTTCGAATGAATTCCGTTGCTGGTTTGTGGAATTGTTCATAGAATTTGATGAAAACTTGATTCTTTTGTTCAGTAGATAAGCGAATATAGCCAAGATTTTTCTTCAGGATGATCATATCAAAACCTTGAGCATACAATTCTAGAGTCTTTTCAATTTCGATCGCCGCTGGTCGATGCTTCGGATCATGGGCCGTGCATCGAGCGATAAGATCTTGAAAGATCGGACTCTCTTCTTGAAAGGCGATCTTTTCTTTACCCAAGAATTGAAAGATATGTTGTGTTTCAGTAAAGAGTTCATTTAAGGTTAGACCAAACGTAAAAATATCGAGTTTTTGATCGTAGGTGCCACTGTGAAATTCTGGTGGCATGAAAGGCTGACAGCCAATGCGTGTATGTTGATTGAATGGATCTACAACACGTGCAATACCCATGTCACCGATTTTACAGGTATATTGTTGATTGACCAAAATATTATCCGATCGAATATCTCGATGAATCATGTGATGTTCATGAATCTTTCGCATTCCACTAGCAATCTGTCTAGCCATATGGACTTTTCGACGTAGAGATATTTTGCCTTTGTTCTTAAGTACATTTGATAGACTGCCACGTGCCATAAATTCTGTGATAATCATGTAGGTTCTTTTGTTACTCTGTCGAGTCATGCCATATCCGTAGGTTTTGAGAATGTAACCACCTGACAATTCCATGTAGGCAGACAATTCCTTGAAAAAACTCTTTTCTAGAGCATGAGTCTGGTTAGTATCAGGCACGGTGATTATTTTACAGGCCACCGGACGATTTTTTGACACCCATCTTGCCTTGTAGACAGAGCCTTGAAAAAAAAAAGTCAAGTGTCTAACTAATCGAAAAGTAAATGACACTTACCAAAAGCACCACTTCCCAATTTTTCACCCAATTCAATATCGTCCACAGGTATCTGTACGATTACTCGACGAGAAGTAAGAATCAATGGATGCGTCGACTTATGATCGTTTGTTGTGACACCCGTCGTCGCACATTTTTCACACAAGTCATAGTCTGGACACGAATCACACTTGAAACGTAATCCGATAAGGTTGGATTTGTTGCATCCATCACAGATGACCGACTCATGCACTTCTCTAGCATAGAATTGTTTAAGTTTCTCGAGAGTTATGTCGTCATTGGTTACAGCTCGACCGAAGAGCTCGTTTGGCAAACGGAAGTGAACGAGTAAATGTCCACTCTTGTGTTGTTTGGGTTCGGCACGATGTTCAAAACATCCAGCACATAGATCAAAATCGTCACATTGCAAACATTTATAACGATCGCTGCGTACTGGACTATTTCCACATGCATCACACATGATATCATGCACTTCATTTCCATCATCGTCATCACTGTTGTTTACGCTCTGAAGAAGTAATTTTAGGATTTGTAGCATTACAGCCATCCGAACAGCATCAGAAGACGTGTCATCTTCCGTATCTGAAATCGATTGTTTTAGACATGTTGCTTTTCTTTCGAAATCGGTATCACAAAAAAGGAATTGTCCTACCCGACTGACTTTTAGACGTAGTTGATACAGTGGTGTGAAAGATTTCATCATCAGCGATTGCTGTTCTTTGTGGTGATTCTGATGGAAATGAAAAACGTTACCTCATTTAGATAAACATCGCACATTATCTTACTCTTGTTTGCTGTTGCGATTCCTGCCGTCAGAGTTTGGGGAGTGACATTGTAATGAAGCATTTCACAATCTCGTTTCGTTCCTAGAGAGAAAATTTATGTAGACAACTCGGAATTTGCATAAAGTCTATGTACCTTTGGAGATCACAATTCCTCGACGTTGTTTACCATTGATTTTAATTGTGTACACTTGAAAGGGTTGAATGGAATGGGATGGGGCTTGAATATATTTTTGAGCAACAACCTCCAAGCTGTTATCATCCGACCAACGAATGACACAGTATTGATCCACAGTCTCCTTGTTATGTTCTTCAATCAAAAGAAATAATTTGATTCGATCGAGAATCCAGTCTTTGTGTCACTTACCAGAGAGCGCACTCAAGAAGGCTTTTGTGAGAGATTCCATCAATAACTATACGTGCGTAGTAAATACTACTCTCTTATGTTGAATGTTTTATTTTCTCAATTGCAAAAGGAAAAGAAGCAATATTTTAGGAACAGCCAACATAAATATGTGTGCATGTTGGTTTTTTCCATCATGAGTCATTTTGTTCGTCGAGTATTTACATTACAAGTGTTGCTTTGCTTTTTCCTTTTTGTTATTTCATCATAACAATGCAATCGTAGTGCAGTAAGACAAACGTGCAACCACCAACTTTTTATTCAGGAAACTGCTATGATTATTTTGACTGTCGATGCAGAGTTGTCAGATGAGCGATGACGACTAATAAAAAGAAAGTTCTTTTCATCGATGACTTTTCCAATAGAAAAATCTGCTGTCGAGTGATATATCTAAGCCGAATTGATCAACATCAAATTAACAACATAGAAATTGATTTTAGAACGATCCTTATGCAGTATCTATGCATATCAAAGCACCGATGGAGTAGGTTCTGACGTGAGACTTCTTTAAGAAAGTATGTTGGACGAAAAAAAGCCACTATTCTATTTCGTTTTGTAGCATCGATCACTCATGATTGTACTCATCAGCCTAGTATTTCGTTGTAATCCGTCATTGTATGAATCTATCTTGTCTTTCTTATGAATTCTATTCAGATTACATTGAATGCTTTTCAGAGATTCTTCGTGATTTGAAAAGACGTCGACTTACATTGATAGCTGAGAAAGAGTTAAAGAGATTTTGTTTGTGTTCGGAGTGCGTTTTAAAAGACACTTTCTAGATTTGATCTGAAATTAGGCATTGCCGTCTTTGCTGTGTCTCTAATCGATTGCCAAAGTTCTATGTCAGCACTGATTAAAATCAATTACAAAGTTCGACACAAGCACATGATAATCGTAGAGATCAAAGATACTGCAGAGCTAATTTGAGACAGATATGTTGTCTTGTTGAAAATTGGAACCACATTTTGATGGGAAATGAGGAGATTGGTTATCATAACTGTGGCTGTACTTGCATAAATATTGTGTAAAACGACATCTTTTTTCGTTCTCTCACTTTCACTTGCACTTTTTCCTGATGATTTATTTTTTGCGATCTTTATTGACATAAAAAGATGAAAAGAATACTGTTTTTTTTTCTATTCTCTTTTTTCTTTTTTTGATTTCTCAACAAACACCATTATCAAACGCATATTCAACACATGGGAACAACGACAACTGACAGAAATCTCTGTGAGACATGTCGAAAAGTAAAAGGAGTATCGAAATGTGAAGGTTGTTCGAACATCTTTTGTTATAATCATTTCATTGATCATCGTCAAGAATTAAATAAACAATTAGATGAAGTTGAAGTAACTCGTGATCTGTTTCGACAAACACTAAGTGAACAAACATCAGAATCACAAAATGACATTTTATTACAACAAATTAATGATTGGGAACGTAATTCAATTGATAAAATTCGACAAACAGCAGATGAAGCAAGAAAAATATTACTAAAATATACAGCTAAACATATTACTGGTATAGAAATTGAGTTGAATAAATTAACTGATCAATTGAGACAAAATCGTCAAGATAATGATTTTGTTGAAACAGATTTATTTCGATGGATAAACCAGCTTATTCAGCTAACTGATGAACTTAACAAATTATCAAAGATGACAATTCGACAAAGTTCAAGATCACTTATAAACAAAATTTATGTTGATATATCAATTAGTAAGTGTTGTTGATATGTATACTCTTATCGGGGATAGTAGAGGCGCATCTTCGACAGATTCATATCTTGAAATATATCTTAGTAACAATTGCATCTTATTGATAAAACTTTAGAAGTCCTTAATACTCACACAAAACTATATTGAATGCAATACAGGATTTGAATAGACTTCTTTTTTCTTAAAATGAATTTGATGTATAAAACAACAGAATTGAAGAACAAACTACTTGTAACGAAACGATTCTTATGAGTTGAATCATTGGCAATGATATATTCGGAGCATGTCACTTAATACCATCTTAAAAAATTCTCCTTTAATGATTATATTTGACTGAAATATCAGGTCTAGTTGATTCGGATTGATTAAGTAAATTTTTACACTGAATCTATTTCTATTGAAAGCTGCTACAGTAGTAACGTTTCATAGCGCATTATGATCAAGAAAATAAATTCGCTGTATTTTATTGTGACTAATCAAGTTATTATCTTGTGATATTTCAATTCGATTTCAACTTGTCAAAACTTCAAAAAGAATGAAAAACTTATGGAAAGAGTAACAACGTGGGAGTTGAAATGATCTTCTTTCCATCAAAATTTGTCAAGCTAAGTTGCACTTTTCATAAAATAAAAGTAGAGGGAACTTTTCCAGAAAAGTTAGCTGATAAGAGTTGAGAAAAACATAAATATCTTACATTTGATAATCAGAAACATCCAAATTCAATGATAACTTGAGTAGAAAATAATCTATAGTATTATTAATGATTTGACTATAGAAGCATTGTATAATGAACTTTGAATAATGAAACACTCTTGTCGTATGTAAAGAAAATTTTTTTCTCACAATTATGTCGAAGTTGATCGCAAAGAAAAAAAGCAAGACTTTCAATATTATAAACTTTTCTTCTATTGTAGTATCATCATGTTGGATGGAAATTAATGCCAACACAAGATGGTTACAAAATGGTATCACGGTTGCTTGAGATAATGAAAGAGGGAATAGATTACATCAATTGGATCGTCCATGAGGTATATGTATTGATGACGATGAACAAATGATCTATATCGCTGGTACTTCTAATCATCGCATTCTAGAATGGAAGTATGGAGCAACAAATGGTCGAATCGTGGCTGGCGGAAATGGACCAAGAGATCGAGTCGATCAGTTAAATAATCCAAAAGATGTTGTTGTTGATAAAGAGAATAATTGTCTCATTATTTGCGATGAAGGAAACAAGCGAGTGATGCTATGGCCTCTTCGCAATGGCACAAATGGACAAATAATCAGCTCCAATATTCGATGCGCAGGACTAGCAATGGATGATGATGGATGTTTTTATGTTTTCTGACTGCAAGACCCATGAAGTACGAAGATGGAGAATAGGAGATAATTGTGGAACAGTAGTAGCAGGTGGTAATGGACGAAGTGATCGTCTCAATCAGCTCAATTGTCCTAGTTACATCTTTGTCGATCAATATTATTCAGTTTATATATCAGACGAGAAGAATTATCGTGTGATGAAATGGATAAGAGGTGCAACAGAAGGAATTGTTGTTGCTGGTGGTCAAGGTCAAGGAAATGGTCTAGCTCAATTATCGTGTCCTCGTGGAGTAATTGTTGATCAGTTAGGTACTGTCTATGTGGTAGATTGTGAGAACAATCGAATAATGCGCTGGTCAAAAGAGGCTAAAGAAGGTACTGTTGTTGTTGGTGGAAATAACCAAGGAAAGCAATTAAATCAATTCTATCATCCTGAGGACTTATCATTTGACCGCGAAGGCAATATCTATGTTGTCGATTGTAACAATGATCGAATACAACGATTCAATATTGATTTAACTTCTAGTTAGTAATGATATAAAACAACTTTCAATGAATTGTCGTGATTGTTTTACATTTTACTTTTATTAAGATGTGAACTGAAAGAATTGTCGTAAAATGAAATTTTCCTGCAAAGTTTTAAGCGGTTATCATCAAACAAATATGTTTGTTACATAGGTACTAAGGTGATTGTTGTATAAAATCTTAATAAATTATATAATAATGATGAAAAGCATTCTAAGATAAAGACTCAATTTTCTTCAACGATGTCAGAGCATTTATTATAGAAAAACAAGTATGGAAACTATTTATCTAATTCAAATCCATAAATCAATCGATACAAAAGCGCAACTAGAATAAACTTGAAAATTTATCGGTACTTTCGTTTTTTAAATATTGTTCTGAAAAGAATTCATTTTATGTCTCGTTTAAACTGTCTCGATACTTGAAAATGAGAAAAATGAATTCGAATTATTAAAATAAAGTAGAATTCAGATTATGAAACTCAATCATTTCAGTTAATAGTTATCAACCATTCTCTGCAAAAAGAAGGATGACATACGATACTACATTTATTCAATGAAGTGTTTACGAAATTAGTGCTTTTTAACTGGCTAATCGAGACTTACTCAGATATAGATGAAATTATACAAACAAATCACAAAATGTTTATGCTTATCTTTATATTGTGTAGTTAGAAAAATTTTAATACTAAAACAATCTATGAGAAGATATTATCAATACGAAATAAGTTAAATAATTTAATTACATAGATTTAGGCTTCACCACCGAAATATTTATTGAAATTAATATTGAAAATAATAGAAAACAAAATTTTTATTAACAGGCCTAACAAAAAATATTCGATTTTATATTTCGATCAATTACATAAAAATTATAAAAAAAGCAAAAGAAAATATATCTTTGTTTCAAGATTTTTTACAAAAATAAATAAATAATATAGAATTTTATCTTGTTTTGTTATTAAAATGATGAAAATTTTAGTACTATATCAATTCTCCTTTTGCAAACCGTTAGGCTTGTTTTCTCTTCGTAAAATATAAGCAGAAAACAGGAAAATCTCAAGAAATTATATGGAAGTGCACAGAATTTACCTAAAACCATGAAATGAATAACTTCTAATTATTGCAGTGTCAATCTTATGTCTAATGGATAACACTAAATCAAATTGGTTGAAATCAAAAATTGCAGCTATGAGCTGACTACAAGTCTCAGTTCTATGTTATATGAACCAAATCAATTCAATGCCTAATAAAAAAAAAATAAAGAACGAGAGAAAATATTTTTCTCTTCTTTTTCTTTTAATTTTTATGTTTGAAAATCTTGTTCATTGTTGCTTATTGTTTTGTTGAACTTTTTAACGTTCACTTCTGTTTGTGTTTAATTTCTTTTGTACATCTAAATGTTGCCTTATCAATTGACAATATTAAATAGCATCTGTTCAATCTCCAGGCAGCTCAATTACGCTAACAATCTCCCTTTAACTAAGAGATCGTGTTAATAAAAAAAGAATAAAGACTATTCCAAACATTTTTTTTCTTATTTTGACAAGTATTTTTCTTGTAATCTAATTGATTAATAGAAAGATACGAGAGAGTTCGATCGTCAGAATCAAGAAAATGAAGAAAACGCTATCGGACTGCACTTAATAAACAAAAATATTTGAATGAAACTTTAAAAAAAACAAGACAAAACCATGTTGCATGGTAAAAATAAAACATGAATACATAATGAAATAGATAAATAATTAACTATTAGTAATATATAACAGATTCCTCTCTAACCTGAATGGAATTATAATTCAAAAGAAGAAATTCTTATCGATCAACCGATTGCTTAGTAAAAAAACGAAGCAGGACAATTTAATTCGATTCATTGAAGTTGAAAAGGTTTTCAATTTAAAATAGGAAAGACAGTCAACATGTATTGTCAAAAACTAGTTTATCAGTAAGTTAAAGATTTTAAAATCGTATCAATCTATCGAGAACAAGATTAGATTTTACCAAAACATTTTATGATTAATAGTACTGACCATCTAGAAATTGAAAATTGAACAGCAATTGAAGTGAAATTCAAAGCATCCTATAATGATAATGGCTTAAAACACTGGGATACAAGCTCATTACAAGAGTTTCTAAGACTGACACATACAATTTCAATTTAGAAGCTCTAAACACTGAATCCCACTTAATTTCCTTGAGTTTCCAATTTTTGGACGATGGGTATATCTTGTTTATTTATTTACCATGGAATAATTTTATGATTGGTGGTACTGTACATAACGTGAAAGTTGTCCACCAATGTGTTGATACATTATTCTGAATAGATAAAAACATCAGAAAGAATTATTAGATAGTATATAATAAAGCATCAACGAAAACAAAAACACATTATTTGTCTTCAATTATCAAATGTACACATCTGATCACGCATACAAAAGATCAAAGATTCTCTTTCTATCATCGATCTTAATGATGAGTACGCGTGTCACCTTGCCTTAGGCACAAACCGAACATAGGTTTATCTGTGACATGTATAGACTGAATACTTTAAATGTATATGATTCGTTCTTTTGAAGTTTGTCGTCGATAATATACATTAAAAATCACCAATCGATCACGTAATCACTCAACGAATAGGAAAATTGATAGGCGATCAATATTAGATTTTAGTTCTATTGAATACTCAAGTTATATCATTCTAATCCAAATGAAACAAAAAAAAATATACATATCATTACACTATTTCTTTTTTTTTATGTGCAATCCTGTTGAACACTTGAATTCTGTCCATAAGAAATAGCAATTATCGAAATATTTTTGGCGCAAGCTTCTTCTCATGTAGTGTAAGTGATGTAATAAATTGCCTAGTTATTACTAATAGAATAGAAGCAATGAAGTAAAAAGCAATTATGAATCAGAGTTGCCGAATGTTTTCTTATTATTATTTCGTTAAAGATAGTTTACATCTAATTTATTAACATACATTAGTCGCCTTACTAAGAAATTTGAATCAACATTAAATATCAGTTAGAGAGTTTTATTACCAAGTAATGAATCAGAACATACAACTTATCATGTTATTTATTTACGAATAGGATGTTTATTCAAGTACATATTACATAGATCAAGAATAACTTGTGCGATTTTAGTTATTTTATGAAAATCATCAATAGCTTCTCAGTAAACACTACTCAAAATAGCATAGATTTTGAGACGTCGATTGATATTTTCAATAACCGGTCTTTCACTATTAATACTTCATCGGTAAAATCATGTCCATGAGGTTTCTTTCTTGGAGTGACTACGAATTCTTTACACTCACAACCACACCCTTTTTTCGCTATCAAACTAATTGGTTTTATAGAGAAAATTGATGAAAATACGCAAAGAAATAAGTGTTGATCCAAAGGTATCTATTAAAAAAAACCATCCATTATCTTAATGAGTTCTATACCGATCGATGGTCCGGACATCATTCTTTCGAATGGTGAAAACCAGACCTTCCTATCTCTTTCCTATCAACAGTTATTCGAAAAATGGTAACTCGTCTTTTATTTTGGATCGGATAATAGAAAAAAAAAGTACATTTTTCTAATATCTGGCTGAAACTACATAAGTAAATAAAAATTGGAGCTTCAGACTGACTGGCCACACCCCATATACAAGAGACAACGACATAAACCATCTGTTCAATGAAAAAAACAAAATTATAATCTAGTTTTATTCGAATGACTTTTCTTGATTAACTCACACCTCGCGTATGCTCATATTTCATGCTTGATGATCATCACATCGATGTGATGTAATGTGAATAATAAGACGGAACAATACAAAAATCATGAGATATGAATCACACCTTTCTATATACATAGACACGCTTCATATCATATCTCATCAGAATTTATTGCTTAAAGGAAAATAAAGAAAATCATGTCATTGAAGACTAGTATCAAAATAATTTCGAATAAAATACTTAAATAATATTTCACATTAAGTGTTATTATATTTTGATAATCTAATCATTTTTTTTTTATTATGGCCACTATGAAAACAAAAATAATGAAACAATATACAATGGAATGTTATTATTATTATTTTTTATTCCTTTTAGAATAAATTATATTTTCAATACAAGTAAAACAAAAAAAAAACTTAATAATGTGTAGGATAATAATAAAATGAATGTTCATTAGTAAACATAAATTGTTGTTCATTTGTTAAATTAATATCTTCTATACTACTACTATCACCACAATAAGATGATGATGAACCATAATCATAACTATTTGAATGATTATATTTTCTATCATCTTCATTTTCACTTGTTTGTAAATTTGTTTCTGTTAATTTTTTTAAATTAATAAATTCTAATGGATTATTTACACGTGGATGTATTGATGATAACATATATGTATCATCTAATGTCATCATATTTGTTGAATATGTTGTATGATTATTATTTGTATCTTGTTGTAATATTCTTGGATTTAATGAAAGTGTTGCAGCAACAAGATTTATTGTATTTGATGATAAACCTTGACAAAGTAATTCAGCAAACTGTATATTATCTAATATTTGATTATTTGATATCATTTGTGTTAATGCTTCAATATAATTTTTTGCTAAACGTAATGTTTCTATTTTAGATAATTTTTGTGATAATGAAAAACAAGGTATAGTTTCACGTAAACGTTCTAATTGTTGATTAAGATCTTTCATACGTTCACGTTCACGACCATTTGCTTTTATACGTCGAACTTTAAAACGAGCTACACGTGATGGTGTCATTTGTTTTTTTTTTGGACCACGTTTTTTAGGAATTTTTATTGGTTCATATGTTGATATAAAAGATTTTTTTATTGTTGATATTTGATCATTTGTATTTTCAACACTTTCATGATATTGTATTTCAAGTTCAAGTTGTTTTAATTGTTGTTGTTCTTCTTCTTGAGGAATTTTTGTTGGCATTTGATATACTACAATAGTTCACCTTGATTTGAGTATATGTATAAAATAATTGAGTATAACAGCGAAAATGTTCGTCCTTGAATAAATATATATATATATATATGTATATTCTTTTTCTCTCTCTCTCTCTCTCTCTCTCGTTGTGAATGACCAATAAGAATTGAATAGGAGAGAAAAAAATTGTCGATTGGCACGTGTGAGATATGAGCTAATGATTAGACTAATTTTTTTACACTCTTAAGGAGAGAAAGAAAAAAAATGAGCTTATAATTATTGTGAAAAAAACGAGAAAAACAGCAGTGAAGCATGACCATAAATCTTTTTTTAATATTATAATTTTCTCTAACTCCCAGTTATGAATAAATATGAGGAATATGCGCATTCCATGAATGCCATATCCCTATTCTCAGAGATGCAACCTATGGAAGGAACCATATGACGCCGCACTGCGCTTCTGAAACTCAACAACTCTGTACCTATGTTGACTTTCAGAAGGAGAGACAATCATCGGCAGCATCTCTCTCTATCTCTCTTATCATGAGTGTCCCGAGTCATCCTTTAATTATACGATGATAATTGATTGAACAGTCTAGTTTGTTCATTTGACTTGTATATTAGTAATGGTTTAGTTGTTTTGATAGGTTACCCTAAAGGAATTATTTATGTGTCTATTTTTTTGATGAGTCAACCATCAAATAAGCTATTAAAGATCAAACAAATCGCAAGTAGGATGATCAATGTCGCGTGTTGGTCAACTTATCAAATGAATAGAAAAAAAAATGGCATGTGTGTGCGTGTTCTACCGCCCATGAAAAAGCACAATAGTGAGATGATACTCATTCTCTTCTTTTATTATAATTCTATTCGAATGGAAAAAAAAACAAAATAATGCCGCATGGTTCATCCTTTCATCCTTTAGGAAAAGATAAATGCTAATTTTCAATGACCAACTGTCTCTGAAATAAAAAAAAGAAAAAGAAAATTTCATTTAGTTGAGGTCAACATTGACTCTCTATTAAGTTCCTAAATGAAATTGATATCTTTTTAGTTTTATCTTTTGTCAAAGAAAGTGTTCGCACTGACAATAAGATTATTGTATGAAAAGAAAAATCAACAAGCAGAAAGTTAAGAAAATGATGTAATTGTCTTTTGCACGCAAGAAATTCATTTCATGATTATTACCATGAAGAATATAAATCTGATGCAATAAGTTTTTTTTTTATTATTATTATGCTTGAATGAATAAGCAAGTGTCACACGAGAGAGAAAAAATAAGACTCATTATTTTTAATTGGACTAGTCTTCGTCAATAAAAAAAAAAATAATTATTGCTCTTTTTCTTATGTAAAAGAAATGATAGATTATGTGACCTCGAGATGTTTTGACAAGAAGAAGTTTATCTCATGATTGTCGTCATTATGAATAGAAATTATAACGCCTTAGATATTGATCGAAAAAAGATTACATGTTTATTAGACAAAAAAAAGAAAAAGTAAAAATCTATCATTATAATATAGTAGTTTCGAAATTTATTTATCTAGATTTATTTTCAATTGTATTTGTTATCAAATTCAATAAGTTCATAAAACAAAACAAAAAAAAAAGAATGAATTAATTTTCTGACTGATTTATAATTACCTATGCTCAATAAATAAAAAAAAAAAAAAATTCATATAGGTGTTAAAACAATCATATCGTTATCAGTCAAACTAATCAATATGTATACCTAGTAGCTCTAGCAGTAAATTGAACATTGATAAACAGATGTTATAATCTTTGCCGATAGTTTTATAACTCTTTAAATTCAAGAAGATATAATAAAATAATTTATTTAAATGTGATTAATTGTTATTTGAAAATCATGTTCATCAATTACAGATGTCAATATCTCGTTTGAGACTTTTTCATGAACTGTATTTTTGTTTTCTTTTTCTATAGAAACAATCATCCGATTGATTTGTTGTTTGATACGCTTCTTTTATTTCCAGGTGTAATATAGTAATAAATCAGAATATATATATATATATATGTATGTATGTATATATATAGATCAATCAATTATTTAACAGTTAACCTGCTGAGTTGATCAAACAAACACATTTCTCAATTAACTAGTACTTATCGATGACGTAACGTTTTTTCGTTTTCTGTTATGGTTTTGTTTTCTATGATTCATATGCCGACATGACAATAACAACAAAAAAAAAAAAACTAAGATTGGTGTTAGAGTTTGTCACTTCATGCAATTGAGTGAATGTAAGAGTGTCCAATTTCTTTGAATTTCAAGAATAAAATGAACAGATATGACGCATTTAAAAAAAAATGTACTATATTCTTTTAATGAATAAATTAATAGTCATCGAATTCGTATGTAGACATACTTGTTTATGTGTTCAACCTTATCTCCTTCTTTTTTTTTCTCCCCAGTGAGTACATACTAAGAATTGATTTATAAACACGAATGAACAATTGAATTGTAAATATAGATTTAAACAGCACAACAGGACATTAATAGCATGAAATTGAAAACACAAGAGACTAATAGTTGTATAGAGGAGAAGAAAAAAAAGAGAAGGTATTGTTTTTACTTTGTTTTCTTTTCTTCTATATGAAATTGTATTGAATGACAGATATTTTTTGAGAGAGTGAAGTATCTTCGTACCAATAAGCTAAGGACGTGAACTCTTTTCAGAATATTCATAGTTCATTTGGATCTACATAATGCATATAGTCTCAATACAAAAGCGATTGAATAGCTGATAACCTTCTCTTGTCAGTATTTTGAATTTATCTCGATCGCGTTTCACTATATCGAAATATTTTTGTTTTTCAACAAGATTTGTACTTCAATTTCTTATTGATCAAAATAATCGTTGTCTACTGTTCTACAGATAATACAATGAATTCATCAAAGATAATTTTTTTAATTGCATATTTTTAACTCTTGAATTAATGTTGCTATTGATATCAATATATTCTAGTCGATGAGTTTCACAAACTCAGTTCAATTCAAATAATATAGGACGAGCTAATGACCTTTGTTAATAGCACTGTTATTGTGTTAAGGAGATCCCTCTTTCTTTCATGACCCCAAAAAATTGATGTATTGTATCACAGATATGGCTGATATACGATCAAAGACTGTATATATTGGTAACATCTTGTTATAATATATATATAAACTACTTTCTTATTACATTTGTTGGATCAATAAGTAAAACAATAATTACGAGACGAGTCTCAAATTAGATACAATAAAACAACATCTAAGACATATTTCACAATCTCACTCCCACAGAGATTGCGCTAACAGTTTTTATAAGTAAAAAAAAAAAATAAAGCAAACATAGGTGTTCATGCTCATGTAAACTGATATATTTCAATTGAAAACAAAAAAAAACTATTCTAAATAGTTATTCATATGCTATTCGTTTTCAACTCGATATAAGTTTGCCGTTTTTACAGAGGACTCCAAATATTCTCTATAATATAATTTCTATCTAGTTGTATTTTAATAAAGTTAAGACAATATTTGTTAACCTTGATTTATACTATATATTGACTTCAAAAAATATAAGTATACAAGATCCTCTTACCAAAGTATTATAATACAATATTAATTCACTAAAAGTCAATAATGATTTAATACTATGATTTAAGATTAATAATTTCATTCAAATTTAAAATTTTTCTTTTCATAGAAAATAATAAGAACATGACACAAAAATAATATAGCAAAGTTACAGAAGGCATGTGATACACTACAATATGTGTAAAGTAACATTAAAAAAAAAAAAAGAAAAAGAAAAAAGTTCAGTACATATATTTATTTTATGAATTATTAGTCTTAATTTATATTATTATTATTATTGTTTTCTTTTATGGTGATCGACCAATTTTAAAAACAAAGATACTATAAAGAATAAATGAGAAGAATGTTAAAACTAAGGCAACGATTTCCAAGGCAGTTGACCAATCGATTCGTATTTCGTGTGTATCTCGAGCTCTTTGTCGAAGTGAATCTAAATCATTAGCTAAAATAAAAAAAAAACTTTTCATAAATATTTATAATTTGTTTATATCGGAATTTTGAAAATGAATCTTATAGAAAGAATAATTATTTTCATTCTGTATATCATTGATATTTTATGAGTTTTTTTTTTTTTTTTCATTGTTCTTTAAGATTTACATACCAGTATTTGCTAATCGAACAACATACATTATATCTCTGATAAATAACTTCCAACAAGAATCAATGTAATAAGTATAAATATGAATGCCAATAAAATTAAAATAAATGGAAAAAAACTAAGACATACACCTATGGAATAATTTTCTGATATATTTATTGAATGAATAAATAGAAGAATAATTGAAAGACCAAGAAATATCGAAGCTATTATTGTACATGCTGCAATACCTTTTGTCGATGGTAAAAAATCACATTGACAACTTTCAATTGATGTTCTTGGTAAACAAAATGTTCAATTAAAACAATTATCACTCATTGGATATTTATTAGGAAAACATGTTTCTGTTTTATTATTTTCCGAAGGTATACATCGTGTGAATAATCCAATAGTTGTCTCATTAAATTGACCTACATTAGATATCTTTGGAATTGCTTTTTTCCAATGATGATGACCCATAGCAGTAACATGAAAAATAAATGCAAAGACAATAAGAATAAAAACAGTGAAGTAAAAAATTTTGGCTTTGTTCATTTTTGTATTGTAATGAATAAAATAATTAGTAATTAATCTATATGAAATATTGAAAAGAAATAAAACTATAGTAATTACTTGTTGTTTCTTTTT